ATATTGTAAAAAGTTAACTATAACCGAATAAAAGGAGCCGGCCAAGAGGCCACCTTAACATCAAAAAAAAAAAAATTATTATATAAAAAAATTTTAATTATTTTTATTTATCTTTTTATTCTTGTTTTCTTTATTAATTTTTTTATCTTTTACTAGTTTTGCTACATTTTTCTAGTTTTGCTACCTTTTTTGCAGTTTCGCCACCTTTTGCTATTTTGCTATTTTAATTTTTTTTTGGTAATAGTCGAAACTAGGTTTCGCCTTTCGCTGTGGCGAAACCTATAAGTTTTGCTTGCCAACACTAGTTAAGGCTTGAAAAATTCCTTTTTTTAAACTTGCTATTCTAATAATCATTTTCTATTTAACTGGTACAGGTCTATATATCTATAAAATTTGTGATTTGTTTTTTAAATACGTTTATTCACTAAGAATTTTATTTATCTCATCAGAAAGACCAAATTTTAGTAACGGGTAAAAATGGATTATATGAGTATAAGGTTTGTGATGAATGCAACCATTATTCACATCTATATTGTAAAAAAAGCAAAAAAATAGCAGATGGAATGTATAAGCAATGTGAATGTGAATGTGATAATGATAATTAATGTTAAATTCTCAACTAAAAAGCATGATTATAAACCAATCATCATTCAAGGATTTCCATAAAATGTTCCAGAATTGATAACCATTTTGGCAATATGCCCGACTATAATCTCTAATACAAAAGTTACACCATAGTTGTATGTATAATATCAAATTCTTTTATATCTTTATGTGTTATATTTAAAAGCCAATTTACTTATTGAGCTCTTATTGATTTTAATCTTTCTTTATAGCTAAAAACAAATGATTTTTTTACTTGGTTACGCTTTAGTGTTATTAAACAAAACATTAAAGATACTTTAAAGTCAACCTTAGACAAACTACATAGCATTTGTCTATTAAATATTTCTCGATTTTCGTTATGCGACTCATTACATAATAATTTGTATCATGATGAAGCCTTCTGTCAAAATCTAGCTCATACAAAAATATTTAATTGGTTTGAAGCATCCTCTCAAAAGACTAGGTCAGCTAGGCTAGTTGCGATTTTCAAGAAGATTTGATTATATTCATCTGTTGTTAGACAACAAGATTCAAGTAGTGCAACTATCAACAATTACAACAATAATAGTAACAAATGTACTTGTGAGGTCTCTCCACCAGTAAAGCAAGTATTCTCTTTTACTGCTAGCGAACAAGAAGCGGTCATCGAACCACTTCTTAATTTAGTTAAGAAAACGATTTATAAATTTCTTGTTGATAGTGAAAGATTTATTCCTCTCGATGTGGTGAAATCCTTCTGTGCCAAACAACACCCTCCTATTAGTACTGACTTTGGAGACGTTGATTTGCTATGTATGATAAATTTTATTATAGATAATATTAAGCTTTTTTTGAAACAAAAAGAGCCATTATTTTATGGTCGATATAAAGCAAATCCTGTTGAGTTATTGAGCAATTTTAAGAAAAATATGTGTAACAAAATGGTGCACAGAATTGTTATTGACGAAAGGGTTGATAAAGCGACCATGAACTTTAGCACACCTCTCTTCTAGCTTGTGAGGTTGTAATTTGTCTTGGTAAGTTTTTCTTAAGAGAATAACTTGACTCTATATAAAAACATAAACTGAGCTTTTTATATTTGACGTTAGGTGGAAACTGCAAAGAAGCATCGTCCAACAAAGAAAATATTGATAATGAAGTAATGCGATGATAGATCAATAAAGCTGATAAAGAACACTCTCATCTACTACAAAAAAGAAAACTTGATGATACAAATTTGGGAAAGATTACAGAATTCATTCTTGATATTCTCAAGGAAACTAAAGAGTTAGAGAAGGAGGATAAGCAGAAGATTTTAAGATTGGCATTAAATGAAGACGAATATCTAATAAAGCTCTGAAGAGCAATCCAAATAAAAGAAAAACAAGTACAAATTTGTAAATTTATCCAATCTGCGAATTTGATGTTTGACGTTGTAAGTATTTGGTATGCAAACATAATTTTTCTTTTATAATAAATTCATATTGTAAGTTAACTAAGCTTAACTGTTTTATCTACAGAACTTGAAATCAAAAACTCAGGTACATTTATATAAATAAGAATGTGGTATAGGAATAAGTTCTCGTGTAGTCACGTTCAAAGTCGGTATGGGGGCACAGCTTATTTGGTGAGCAATTCAGTTTGCTCAATGGGTAGGTTTAAATCGACATTGGCTGAGAGATTAGATTGTAGTTTCTCAGTTTTTGTTAGACTCGTTGGCTTAACTGAAGATAAACGAAGCTACTTATTTTGTATACTACTATATCTGCAAACCTTTTTGCTGATTTATGTTAGTATTTCTAACTATTTATAACTTCACTTTTCAAAATATGAACTCTCGAAATGATGAATCTGCTAATGCTAAATTCACCCAATAATTAATTATTATATTGATGTCAAATAGGTTACTTTTAGTTCGAGACATTTTATTATTAATAATAAAATTGAGACATTTTTTTTATTTGTAATAGAATAGGAAAAATTATATCATAACATATTTTTAGTATTGAAATAAACTGCTTCATTATTTTATTATATTGCATAGAATATCAATCCCCACATATAATCAAGATTCTTTTCTAATATTAATAAAAACTTGAAGTGAGTTAGGTTATATATTATCAATAAAAATTTGGCTTAAAATGATTTTTTATTGTGCGTGTAGAGTATGCATTGAAAAAATATATATGCCAGTTTTGTGTACATAGTAACGTTTACACATTTTTTGATCGAAAGTGTTTTATACTACCTTTCTGTATTAGTGATGATAAGACTCAATGGTTAGTATTCATCCATTCATCCAACGAATAAAAACATTTTCAGTGACATCTATTTCAAATTTAAGATCCCGAAATTTTACAAATTTCTGTAACTAGAAAAGAAAATGCTAATAGTTTTGTCGATTTGTATAATAATATAACCTATGCAGAAGCCCAAAATGAAATTACTAATAACCTGTTATTTTCTCTCAGTAAAGCAATGACTATTAATATATAATATCAGAGTTAAATTCGCTATGATGAAAATTTAAATGTTCACCTCTAGGTTTTTCGCTCTGCAACACTCACAAAAAAATTCTTATATTAAAATTTTTTTATAGAAACATATAAAATTTAACCTACAATAACTTTGAATCAATAAAACCGCATAAATAAAAATACATTTGTTAGGTTCATTTTAACATACTTTTTAAAGTAATAACACTTTTTTCTTCATTTTTATTGTTTGGAATGTAGTAGAGAACTTTCAATTTATATGCAAAGTTCTTGTTTTTGATGTATGTTTTAACAAAAGCATCAAAAATGCTATCGCTGTTATCACAGCAATCTCTTATAAAAGCTTCAGTTTTTAGTAAAAATATGTAAGAAAACAAAAGAAGAGTATTATTTGCTTTAAAGAGAATGTTAAACAAACTTGACAAATACAATTTTATTTGGGTTTATTTGCTAGTTTAAGAGCAATTGCGAGTTAAATTTTATTATATATTTATTAGATATAGCAGTACGTATAAGGTATCAACATGGCACTAATTATATGACTAATTACATGATTAGTTAAAATCAAAAAAATAGTTCTTAAAGCGGTATTTCTATTTTTTACAGTTTTATTTTCTGGCTAAGCGAAGCAAACTTAAAGTTTTAATCAAAATTCTCAAATAATACAGATGCAATTTAAACAGATACTAGAACTCACACTTTGCTATCTAGTTTTAGCTCATTAATAATTAGAAAATTAAGCGAAGCAGTATTAAGATTTTCTCATTTCAATAAAATAGAGCACAAATACATAAGGCTAATGTTAAAAATAACTAACGCAATAACTTTCATCCTCATTTTAAGCTCAGGTTTACATTTATTATATTTTGCATCACTTGGCAGTGTTTTAAATTTTATTATCGCTATATTTATTTAACCAAAAAAAATATCAAAATCTAGAAAACCAACACACTAGTGCTTCTACAGATCGGACTCGAACCACACTTTAGTCAAGTTTGAGTCTGGTCTGATTTTCGGACCAGACTCAGACTTTTATATTCAAACTTTTTAATCAAGTTT